GCTATAAGCAGCCAGAGGCCCTAGTGGTCAGCTCACGCTGTAAACAGTCAGAGGCCCTAGTGGTCAGCTCACGCTGTAAACAGTCAGAGGCCCTAGTGGTCAGCTCACGCTATAAGCAGTCAGAGGCCTAGTGGTCAGCTCACGCTATAAGCAGTCAGAGGCCCTAGTGGTCAGCTCACGCTATAAACAGTCAGAGGCCCTAGTGGTCAGCTCACGCTATAAGCAGTCAGAGGCCTAGTGGTCAGCTCACGCTACAAGCAGTCAGAGGCCTTAGTGGACAGCTCACGCTATAAGCAGTCAGAGGGCCTAGTGGTCAGCTCACGCTGTAAACAGTCAGAGGCCCTAGTGGTCAGCTCACGCTATAAACAGTCAGAGGCCTAGTGGTCAGCTCACGCTATAAGCAGTCAGAGGCCCTAGTGGTCAGCTCACGCTGTAAACAGTCAGAGGCCCTAGTGGACAGCTCACGCTATAAGCAGTCAGAGGCCTTAGTGGTCAGCTCACGCTATAAGCAGTCAGAGGCCCTAGTGGTCAGCTCACGCTGTAAACAGTCAGAGGCCTTAGTGGTCAGCTCACGCTATAAGCAGTCAGAGGCCCTAGTGGTCAGCTCACGCTGTAAACAGTCAGAGGGCCTAGTGGTCAGCTCACGCTGTAAACAGTCAGAGGCCTTAGTGGTCAGCTCACGCTGTAAACAGTCAGAGGCCCTAGTGGTCAGCTCACGCTGTGCCCACTGAGGCCCCTTTCGGAGTCTTGGGCCACGCACGGCGTACGGCCCGAGGCTCGGACTGGGCACCGGCCCGGTCCATAATCCACCCTCGCCACCCCACCCACCACCATCTACCCCACCACCACGATGTCTCCACCACCACCCCCCCACCACGATGTCTCCACCACCCTCGCCACCCCACCCCCCACCGTCTACCCCCCCACCACGATGTCTCCACCACCCTCGCCACCCCCCACCGTCTACCCCCCCACCACGATGTCTCCACCACCCCCCCACCACGATGTCTCCACCACCCTCGCCACCCCACCCACCACCGTCTACCCCCCCACCACGATGTCTCCACCACCCCCCCCACCACGATGTCTCCACCACCCTCGCCACCCCCCACCGTCTACCCCCCCACCACGATGTCTCCACCACCCTCGCCACCCCACCCACCACCGTCTACCCCCCCACCACGATGTCTCCACCACCCTCGCCACCCACCACCGTCTACCCCCCCACCACGATGTCTCCACCACCCTCGCCACCCACCACCGTCTACCCCCCCACCACGATGTCTCCACCACCCTCGCCAACCCCCTCATCTCCCACGTGCCTCTCTCACCCTCCCACCACCCCTCCCACCACCACCCCCCCACCACCACCACCCCCCCACCACCACCACCCCCCCACCAAGGTACCACTGGTGCCAGCGTCCTGGCCGATCGGAGACTCCGGCACGCGTCCTGGGAAGAGTGACACCGCTGACTGCCCCGTCGCTCCCTGCTGCTCCTCTTCACCGCCACCACCACCACCGCCGCCCTGCTGCAGCTGCTGCTGCTGCTGCTGGTGGTGGTGGCCACCGCCGGTGTTGGAGCCGGCCGCTCCGAGCGGAGCTCCGTCACTCATGGGGCGCAGAGGGACCCCAGCGGAGAGCAGAGGTGCTGAGGGCACACGGGGCGGTGGGTGGGTGGGTGGGTGAGCGAGTGACTGAGCGGGTGACTTAGCGAGTGACCGAGCGAGTGACTGAGCGAGTGACTGAGCGAGTGACTTAGCGAGTGACTTAGTGAGTGACTTAGCGAGTGACTTAGCGAGTGACTTAGCGAGTGACTTAGCGAGTGACTTAGCGAGTGACTTAGTGAGTGACTTAGCGAGTGACTGAGCGAGTGACTTAGCGAGTGACTTAGCGAGTGACTGAGCGAGTGACTTAGCGAGTGACCGAGCGAGTGACCGAGCGAGTGACCGAGCGAGTGACCGAGCGAGTGACCGAGCGAGTGACTTAGCGAGTGACTGAGCAAGTGACTGAGCGAGTGACTTAGCGAGTGACTTAGCGAGTGACATAGCGAGTGATTGAGCGAGTGACTTAGCGAGTGACCGAGCGAGTGACCGAGCGAGTGACCGAGCGAGTGACTGAGCGAGTGACCGAGCGAGTGACTGAGCGAGTGACCGAGCGAGTGACTTAGCGAGTGACTGAGCGGGTGACTTAGCGAGTGACTTAGCGAGTGACTGAGCGAGTGACCGAGCGAGTGACTGAGCGAGTGACTGAGCGAGTGACTTAGCGAGTGACTGAGCGAGTGACTTAGCGAGTTACTGAGCGAGTGACTTAGCGAGTGACTTAGCGAGTGACTTAGTGAGTGACCTAGCGAGTGACTGAGCGAGTGACTTAGCGAGTGACTTAGCGAGTGACTGAGCGAGTGACTTAGCGGGTGACTGAGCGAGTGACTTAGCGAGTGACCGAGCGAGTGACCGAGCGAGTGACCGAGCGAGTGACTGAGCGAGTGACTGAGCGAGTGACTGAGCGAGTGACTGAGCGAGTGACTGAGCGAGTGACTTAGCGAGTGACTGAGCCAGCGACCGAGCGAGTGACTGAGCGAGTGACTGAGCGAGTGACTGAGCGAGTGACTTAGCGAGTGACCGAGCGAGTGACCGAGCGAGTGACCGAGTGAGTGACCGAGCGAGTGACTGAGCGAGTGACCGAGCGAGTGACCGAGCGAGTGACCGAGCGAGTGACTTAGCGAGTGACCGAGCGAGTGACTGAGCGAGTGACTGAGCGAGTGACCGAGCGAGTGACCGAGCGAGTGACTGAGCGAGTGACCGAGCGAGTGACTGAGCGAGTGACTGAGTGAGTGACTGAGCGAGTGACTGAGCGAGTGACCGAGCGAGTGACAGAGTGAGTGACCGAGCGAGTGACCGAGCGAGTGACTGAGCGAGTGACCGAGCGAGTGAGTGACTGAGCGAGTGACTGAGCGAGTGACTGAGCGAGTGACTGAGCGAGGGACTTAGCGAGGGACTTAGCGAGTGACTGAGCGAGTGACTGAGCGAGTGACCGAGCGAGTGACCTAGCGAGTGACTGAGCGAGTGACTTAGCGGGTGACTTAGCGGGTGACTGAGCGAGTGACTGAGCGAGTGACTGAGCGAGTGACTGAGCGAGTGACTGAGCGAGTGACTGAGCGAGTGACCGAGCATGTGACCGAGCGAGTGACTGAGCGAGTGACCGAGCGAGTGACCGAGCGAGTGACCGAGCGAGTGACTTAGCGAGTGACTGAGCGAGTGACTTAGCGAGTGACTTAGCGAGTGACTTAGCGAGTGACTGAGCGAGTGACTGAGCGAGTGACTTAGCGAGTGACTTAGCGGGTGACTTAGCGAGTGACTTAGCGAGTGACTTAGCGAGTGACTTAGCGAAGTGACCGAGCGAGTGACTGAGCGGGTGACTTAGCGGGTGACTTAGCGAGTGACTTAGCGAGTGACTTAGCGAGTGACCGAGCGAGTGACTTAGCGAGTGACTTAGCGAGTGACTTAGCGGGTGACTTAGCGAGTGACTTAGCGAGTGACTGAGCGAGTGACTTAGTGAGTGACTTAGCGAGTGACTTAGCGAGTGACTTAGCGAGTGACTTAGCGAGTGACCGAGCGAGTGACCGAGCGAGTGACCGAGCGAGTGACTTAGCGAGTGACCGAGCGAGTGACTGAGCGAGTGACTTAGCGAGTGACTTAGCGAGTGACTGAGCGAGTGACCGAGCGAGTGACCGAGCGAGTGACCGAGCGAGTGACCGAGCGAGTGACTGAGCGAGTGACCGAGCGAGTGACTTAGCGAGTGACTTAGCGAGTGACTTAGCGAGTGACTGAGCGAGTGACTGAGCGAGGGACTTAGCGAGGGACTTAGCGAGTGACTGAGCGAGTGACTGAGCGAGTGACCGAGCGAGTGACCTAGCGAGTGACTGAGCGAGTGACTTAGCGGGTGACTTAGCGGGTGACTTAGCGAGTGACTGAGCGAGTGACTTAGCGAGTGACTTGAGTGACTGAGCGAGTGACTGAGCGAGTGACCGAGCGGGGTGACCGAGCGAGTGACTGAGCGAGTGACCGAGCGAGTGACCGAGCGAGGGACTTAGCGAGGGACTTAGCGAGTGACTGAGCGAGTGACTGAGCGAGTGACCGAGCGAGTGACCTAGCGAGTGACTGAGCGAGTGACTTAGCGGGTGACTTAGCGGGTGACTTAGCGAGTGACTGAGCGAGTGACTTAGCGAGTGACTTAGCGAGTGACTGAGCGAGTGACTGAGCGAGTGACCGAGCGGGTGACCGAGCGAGTGACTGAGCGAGTGACCGAGCGAGTGACCGAGCGAGTGACCGAGCGAGTGACTTAGCGAGTGACTTAGCGAGTGACTTAGCGAGTGACTTAGCGAGTGACTTAGCGAGTGACTGAGCGAGTGACTGAGCGAGTGACTTAGCGAGTGACTTAGCGAGTGACTTAGCGAGTGACTTAGCGAGTGACTTAGCGAGTGACTTAGCGAGTGACCGAGCGAGTGACTGAGCGGGTGACTTAGCGGGTGACTTAGCGAGTGACTTAGCGAGTGACTTAGCGAGTGACCGAGCGAGTGACTTAGCGAGTGACTTAGCGAGTGACTTAGCGGGTGACTTAGCGAGTGACTTAGCGAGTGACTGAGCGAGTGACTTAGTGAGTGACTTTGCGAGTGACTTAGCGAGTGACTTAGCGAGTGACTTAGCGAGTGACCGAGCGAGTGACCGAGCGAGTGACCGAGCGAGTGACTTAGCGAGTGACTTAGCGAGTGACTTAGCGGGTGACTTAGCGAGTGACTTAGCGAGTGACCGAGCGAGTGACTTAGCGAGTGACTGAGCGAGTGACTTAGCGAGTGACCGAGCGAGTGACTTAGCGAGTGACTGAGCGAGTGACTTAGCGAGTGACTGAGCGAGTGACTTAGCAAGTGACTGAGCGAGTGACTGAGCGAGTGACTTAGCGAGTGACTGAGCGAGTGACTTAGCGAGTGACTTAGCGAGTGACTTAGTGAGTGACTGAGCGAGTGACTTAGCGAGTGACTTAGTGAGTGACTTAGCGAGTGGCTTAGCGAGTGACTTAGCGAGTGACTGAGCGAGTGACTGAGCGAGTGACTGAGCGGGTGACTTAGCGAGTGACTTAGTGAGTGACTTAGCGAGTGACTTAGCGAGTGACTTAGTGAGTGACTTAGCGAGTGACTTAGCGAGTAACTTAGTGAGTGACTTAGCGAGTGACTTAGCGAGTGACTTAGCGAGTGACCGAGCGAGTGACCGAGCGAGTGACTTAGCGAGTGACTTAGCGAGTGACTTAGCGAGTGACTTAGCGAGTGACTGAGGGAGTGACTTAGCGAGTGACTGAGCGAGTGACTTAGCGAGTGACTTAGCGAGTGACTTAGCTAGTGACTTAGCGAATGACTTAGCGAGTGACTTAGCGAGTGACTTAGCGAGTGACTGAGCGAGTGACTTAGCGAGTGACTGAGCGAGTGACTTAGCGAGTGACTTAGTGAGTGACTGAGCGAGTGACTTAGCGAGTGACTGAGCGAGTGACCGAGCGAGTGACCGAGCGAGTGACTTAGCGAGTGACTTAGCGAGTGACTGAGCGAGTGACTTAGTGAGTGACCGAGCGAGTGACCGAGCGAGTGACCGAGCGAGTGACTTAGCGAGTGACTGAGCGAGTGACTTAGCGAGTGACTGAGCGTGTGACTTAGCGAGTGACCGAGCGAGTGACCGAGCGAGTGACCGAGCGAGTGACTTAGCGAGTGACCGAGCGAGTGACTTAGCGAGTGACTTAGCGAGTGACCGAGCGAGTGACCGAGCGAGTGACTTAGCGAGTGACTTAGCGAGTGACCGAGCGAGTGACCGAGCGAGTGACTTAGCGAGTGACTTAGCGAGTGACTTAGCGAGTGACCGAGCGAGTGACCGAGCGAGTGACTTAGCGAGTGACTTAGCGAGTGACTTAGCGAGTGACTGAGCGAGTGACCTAGCGAGTGACCGAGCGAGTGACTTAGCGAGTGACTTAGCGAGTGACTTAGCGGGTGACTTAGCGAGGGACTTAGTGAGTGACTTAGCGAGTGACCGAGCGAGTGACCAAGCGAGTGACTTAGCGAGTGACCGAGCGAGTGACTGAGCGAGTGACTTAGTGAGTGACTGAGCGAGTGACTTAGCGAGTGACTTAGCGAGTGACTGAGCGAGTGACTTAGCGAGTGACTGAGCGAGTGACCGAGCGAGTGACTTAGCGAGTGACTTAGCGAGTGACTTAGCGAGTGACTGAGCGAGTGACTGAGCGAGTGACCGAGCGAGTGACTTAGTGAGTGACTGAGCGAGTGACTGAGCGAGTGACCGAGCGAGTGACCGAGCGAGTGACTTAGCGAGTGACTTAGCGAGTGACTTAGCGAGTGACTTAGCGAGTGACCCAGTGGGTGACTTAGCGAGTGACTGAGCGAGTGACTGAGCGAGTGGCTTAGCGAGTGACTTAGTGAGTGACTTAGCGAGTGACTGAGCGAGTGACTTAGCGAGTGACTTAGCGAGTGACTGAGCGAGTGACTTAGTGAGTGACTGAGCGAGTAACTTAGCGAGTGACTGAGCGGGTGACTTAGCGAGTGACTTAGCGAGGGACTTAGCGAGTGACTTAGCGAGTGACTTAGCGAGTGACCGAGCGAGTGACCGAGCGAGTGACCGAGCGAGTGACCGAGCGAGTGACTTAGCGAGTGACTTAGCGAGTGACTTAGCGAGTGACCGAGCGAGTGACTTAGCGAGTGACTTAGCGAGTGACTGAGCGAGTGACTTAGCGAGTGACTTAGCGAGTGACTTAGTGAGTGACCGAGCGAGTGACCGAGCGAGTGACTTAGCGAGTGACTGAGCGAGTGACTTAGCGAGTGACTTAGCGAGTGACCGAGCGAGTGACCGAGCGAGTGACTGAGCGAGTGACTGAGCGAGTGACTGAGCGAGTGACTTAGCGAGTGACTTAGCGAGTGACTGAGCGAGTGACTGAGCGAGTGACTGAGCGAGTGACTGAGCGAGTGACTGAGCGTGTGACTTAGCGAGTGACTGAGCGAGTGACCGAGCGAGTGACCGAGCGAGTGACTTAGCGAGGGACTGAGCGAGTGACTTAGCGAGTGACTTAGTGAGTGACTGAGCGAGTGACTTAGCGAGTGACTGAGCGAGTGACTTAGCGAGTGACTGAGCGAGTGACTTAGCGAGTGACTGAGCGAGTGACCGAGCGAGTGACTTAGCGAGTGACTTAGCGAGTGACTTAGCGAGTGACTTAGTGAGTGACTGAGCGAGTGACTTAGCGAGTGACTGAGCGAGTGACTTAGCGAGTGACTTAGTGAGTGACTTAGTGAGTGACTGAGCGAGTGACTTAGCGAGTGACTTAGTGAGTGACTTAGCGAGTGACTTAGTGAGTGACCGAGCGAGCAAGCAAGCAAGCGACTGAGCGAGCCATCTATGTACGTGTGTGTGTACGGTGAGGGTTTTTCTGGATTTTGTTGTTGTTATTCTGTCTCTCGCTGTTCAAATAAACCTACCATTAAAATTATAGAGTGATCATTTCTTTGTCAGTGGGCAAACGTACAAAATCAGCAGGGGATCAAACACTTTGTCCCCTCACTGTATGTGTGTGATGCCAGTAAGAACATGTTGATGTACGAGTGAGTGAGTGAGTGACCGAGTGAGTGAGTGAGTGACCGAGTGAGTGAGTGAGTGACCGAGTGAGTGAGTGACCGTGTGAGTGAGTGAGTGACCGAGTGAGTGAGTGAGTGACCGAGTGAGTGAGTGAGTGACCGAGTGAGTGAGTGAGTGACCGAGTGAGTGAGTGAGTGACCGAGTGAGTGAGTGACCGAGTGAGTGAGTGACCGAGTGAGTGAGTGAGTGACCGAGTGAGTGAGTGACCGAGTGAGTGAGTGAGTGACCGAGTGAGTGAGTGACCGAGTGAGTGACTGAGTGAGTGACTGATTGAGTGAGTGACCGAGTGAGTGACTGAGTGAGTGACTGATTGAGTGAGTGACCGAGTGAGTGACTGACTGAGTGAGTGACTGACTGAGTGAGTGACTGAGTGAGTGAGTGAGTTAGTTGAGTGACTGAGTGAGTACCCTGCTGCTGCAGCTGCTGGTGCTGACTGTAGAAGGGAGGGTGCTGACTGTAGACTGAGTCACTGAGTGAGTGAGCGAGTGACTAAGTGAATGAGTGACTAAGTGAATGAGTGACTGATTGAGTGACTGATTGAGTGAGTGACTGACCGAGTGACTGACTGAGTGAGTGACCGAGTGAGTGAGTACCCTGCTGCTGCTGCTGCAGCTGCTGACTGTAGGAGGGAGGGTGCTGACTGTAGACTGAGTCACTGAGTGAGTGACTGAGTGAGTGACTGACTGAGTGAGTGACCGAGTGAGTGACTGACTGAGTGAGTGACTGACTGACTGAGTGACTGACTGAGTGAGTGACTGAGTGAGTGACTGATTGAGTGACTGAGTGAGTGACTGAGTGAGTGACTGACCGAGTGAGTGACTGAGTGAGTGACCGAGTGAGTGACTGAGTGAGTACCCTGCTGCTGCAGCTGCTGGTGCTGACTGTAAGAGGGAGGGTGCTGACTGTAGACCGAGTCACTGAGTGAGTGAGCGAGTGAGTGACTAAGTGAATGAGTGACTAAGTGAATGAGTGACTGATTGAGTGAGTGACCAAGTGAGTGACCGAGTGAGTGAGTGAGTGACCGAGTGAGTGACCGAGTGAGTGAGTACCCTGCTGCTGCAGCTGCTGGTGCTGACTGTAGGAGGGAGGGTGCTGACTGTAGGCCGAGTCACTGAGTGAGTGACTGAGTGAGTGACTGAGTGATTGAGTGACCGAGTGAGTGACCGAGTGAGTGAGTGAGTGACTGACTGACTGACTGATTGACTGAGTGAGTGAGTGACTGATTGAGTGACTGAGTGAGTGACTGAGTGAGTGACTGACTGAGTGAGTGACTGAGTGAGTGACCGAGTGAGTGACCGAGTGAGTGACCGAGTGACTGACTGAGTGAGTGAGTGACTGAGTGAGTGAGTACCCTGCTGCTGCAGCTGCTGGTGCTGACTGTAGGAGGGAGGGTGCTGACTGTAGACTGAGTCACTGAATGAGTGACTGAGTGAGTGACTGAGTGAGTGAGTGACCGAGTGAGTGACCGAGTGAGTGACTGACTGAGTGAGTGACTGAGTGAGTACCCTGCTGCTGCAGCTGCTGGTGCTGACTGTAGGAGGGAGGGTGCTGACTGTAGGCGAGGAAGGCGGCGGCCGCGGGGCTCTGAGGGGCGTAGGGGGAGGGAGCCGGGCTGCTCTGCTGGGGGTGGAACCGGCCAGAGCCAGAGCCGGACATCACCATGTATCTACTGGCGTCAGACACACGTACATACACACATCACACACACACACATCACACACATACATACATACATCACACATCACCATGTATCTACTGGCGTCAGACACACGTACATACACACATCACACATCACACACATACATCACACACATACATACATCACCATGTATCTACTGGCGTCAGACACGTACATACACACACACACATCACACACACACACATACATACATCACACATGTATCTACTGGCGTCAGACACACACACATACATACATCACCATGTATCTACTGGCGTCAGACACACACACATACATACATCACAATGTATCTACTGGCGTCAGACACAAACACATACACACATCACACACACACACATCACACACATACATACATACATCACACATCACCATGTATCTACTGGCGTCAGACACACGTACATACACACATCACACACACACATCACACACATCACACACATACATACATCACACATCACCATGTATCTACTGGCGTCAGACACGCGTACATACACACATCACACACATCACACACATACATACATCACACATCACCATGTATCTACTGGCGTCAGACACACGTACATACACACATCACACATCATACACACATCACACATACATCACCATGTATCTACTGGCGTCAGACACACACACATACACACATACACACATCACCATGTATCTACTGGCGTCAGACACACGTACATACACACATCACACACATCACACATCACACACACATCACACATACATCACCATGTATCTACTGGCGTCAGACACACACACATACACACATACATACATCACCATGTATCTACTGGCGTCAGACACACGTACATACACACATCACACACACACACACATCACACACACACACATCACACACACATCACACACACATCACACACATACATACATCACACATCACCATGTATCTACTGGCGTCAGACACACGTACATACACACATCACACACACACATCACACACATACACACATACACACATACACACACACATCACACACACACATACATCACACATCACCATGTATCTACTGGCGTCAGACACGCGTACATACACACATCACACACATCACACAAATACACACATACATACATCACCATGTATCTACTGGCGTCAGACACACACACATACACACATCACACACACAACACACACATACACACATACATACATACATCACCATGTATCTACTGGCGTCAGACACACATACACACACATCACACACATACATACACACATCACACACACATCACACACATCACACACATACACACACACATCACACACACATCACCATGTATCTACTGGCGTCAGACACACGTACATACACACATCACACACACACATCACACACATACATACATACATCACACATCACCATGTATCTACTGGCGTCAGACACACATACACACATCACATCACACACACATCACACACACACACATCACACACACATCACCATGTATCTACTGGCGTCAGACACACACACATCACACACATACACATCACACACATACACATCACACACACCAACACACACATCACACACACACATACACACCAACACACACACACACATACACACATCACCATGTAACTACTGGCGTCAGACACACACATATCCACATCACACACACATCACATACACATCACACACATCACACACATCACACACACACACATCACACACATACATATATACACACATCACACACACATCACCATGTATCTACTGGCGTCAGACACACACACATCACATTACACACACATCACACACACATCACACACACACACATCACACACATACATACATACACACATCACACACACCAACACACACATCACACACACACACACACACCAACACACACATACATACATACACACATCACACACACATTACCATGTAACTACTGGCGTCAGACACACACATATCCACATCACACACACACATCACACACATACACACACATTTACACACATCACACACATATACACACACATCACACACACATACATATACACCAACACACATCACACACACATACAGACACACACCAACATACATCACAATGTATTTACTGGCATCACACATACATACACACACACACAGACACACATCACACACACATCACCATGTATCTACTGGCGTCAGACACACACACATCACACACATACACATCACACACATCACACACACCAACACACACATCACACACACACATACACACCAACACACACATACACAGACATACACACATCACACACACATCACCATGTATCTACTGGCGTCACACACACACATCACACACATCACACACACATCACACACATACACACACATATACACACATCACACACATACACACACATCACACACACATACACCAACACACATCACACACACACACATACAGACACACACACCAACATACATCACAATGTATTTACTGGCTTCACACATACATACACACACAGACAGACAGACACACATCACACACACATCACCATGTATCTACTGGCGTCACACACACACATCACACACATACACACACATACACACACATACATACACATCACACACACATATCACAAAGACAAAGATCCCCCGTACAGCCTTAACAGACTGTAGGGGCAAGTGCTGTTAGCGAGCAGCACCTATGAAGGCCGGAACGGTACACGAGGGGGTGGGTGGCCAGCACCACGCCCGACCGCCTTTGTCTCCCTAGTTACGATGTTTACACACCGCACCAGGTACTCATTTGAGGCTGAGTCGACCTAGGGGAGGCCTACACTACCGCTCCCCACACACACACCAACAGACATCGCCATGTACCTACTGGCATCACACATACATATACACACCAAAATACAACACAATTTAGCTGCTGGCATCACACACACACATCACCATGTAGTTACTGTGTGTCACACACACACACACCACCATGTAGTTACTGTGTGTCACACACACACACACCACCATGTAGTTACTGTGTGACACACACACACATCACCATGTAGTTACTGTGTCACACACACACACATCATGTAGTTACTGTGACACACACACACACCATGTAGTTACTGTGTGTCACACACACACACACACCATGTAGTTACTGTGACACACACACACACATCACCATGTAGTTACTGTGTGTCACACACACACACCATGTAGTTACTGTGTGTCACACACACACACACCGTGTAGTTACTGTGTGACACACACACACACACACACCATGTAGTTACTGTGTCACACACACACACACATCACCATGTAGTTACTGTGTCACACACACACACACCATGTAGTTACTGTGTGTCACACACACACACACCATGTAGTTACTGTGTGACACACACACACACACATCACCATGTAGTTACTGTGTGTCACACACACACACATCACCATGGAGTTACTGTGTGTCACACACACACACATCACCTTGTAGTTACTGTGTGACACACACACACACACCGTGTAGTTACTGTGTCACACACACACACATCACCATGTAGTTACTGTGTGACACACACACACACACCGTGTAGTTACTGTGTGACACACACACACACACACACACCATGTAGTTACTGTGTGTCACACACACACACACACACCATGTAGTTACTGTGTCACACACACACACATCACCATGTAGTTACTGTGTGACACACACACACACACCATGTAGTTACTGTGTGTCACACACACACACACACACCATGTAGTTACTGTGTGTCACACACACACACACCATGTAGTTACTGTGTGTCACACACACACACACCACCATGTAGTTACTGTGTGACACACACACACACACCATGTAGTTACTGTGTGTCACACACACACACACACACCATGTAGTTACTGTGTGTCACACACACACACACCATGTAGTTACTGTGTGTCACACACACACACACCATGTAGTTACTGTGTCACACACACACACACACACCATGTAGTTACTGTGTGTCACACACACACACACCATGTAGTTACTGTGTGTCACACACACACACACCACCATGTAGTTACTGTGTGACACACACACACACACCATGTAGTTACTGTGTGTCACACACACACACACACACCGTGTAGTTACTGTGTGACACACACACACACACACACCATGTAGTTACTGTGTGTCACACACACACACACACACCATGTAGTTACTGTGTCACACACACACACATCACCATGTAGTTACTGTGACACACACACACACACCATGTAGTTACTGTGTGTCATACACACACACACACCATGTAGTTACTGTGTCACACACACACACCATGTAGTTACTGTGTGTCACACACACACACACCGTGTAGTTACTGTGTGACACACACACACACACACACCATGTAGTTACTGTGTGTCACACACACACACACACCATGTAGTTACTGTGTCACACACACACACACATCACCATGTAGTTACTGTGACACACACACACACACCATGTAGTTACTGTGTGTCATACACACACACACACACCATGTAGTTACTGTGTCACACACACACACACCATGTAGTTACTGTGTCACACACACACACACCATGTAGTTACTGTGTCACACACACACACACACCATGTAGTTACTGTGTCACACACACACACAACACCATGTAGTTACTGTGTCACACACACACACAACACCTTGTAGTTACTGTGACACACACACACACACACCATGTAGTTACTGTGTGTCACACACACACACACACACCATGTAGTTACTGTGTCACACACACACACACACCATGTAGTTACTGTCACACACACACACACACCATGTAGTTACTGTGTGTCACACACACACACACCTTGTAGTTACTGTGTGTCACACACACACCGTGTAGTTACTGTGTCACACACACAACACCATGTAGTTACTGTGTGACACACACACACACACACACCATGTAGTT